AGGAAGAGGAAGAGGAAGAGGAGGAAGAAGGAGGAAGAAGGAGGAAGAAGGAGGAAGAAGGAGGAGGAGGAGGAGGAGGAGGAGGAGGAGGAAGAAGAAGAAGAAGAAGAAGAAGAAGAAGAAGAAGAAGAAGAAGAAGAAGAAGAAGCATGTGGAAACATAAGCAATAAGTTCTCTAGTATGAGCAAAGCACTGTGAGAATATACTAGTAAACTGTTATGTGTTTACTGTTTTCAAGTACCATAATTTAAAGTTAGTCTTTAGAAGGACTCATAAAGATCCTATCTTTTAAATACACTAGTAAGCTACAGTCTTAAAAGCTTGAAGTTATGACCGAGAGGTGGTGGCACTCGCCTTTAATCCCAGCACTTGGGAGGCAGCCAGGCGGATTTCTGTGAGTTCAAGGCCAGCCTGGTGTACAGAATGAGATCCAGGACAGGCACCAAAACTACACAGAGAAACCTTGTCTCAAAAACAAAACAAAACAAAACAAAACAAACAAACAAACAAAAGACAAAAAACTTTAAATTACAACTGAGCAGGGTAGCACACACCTTTAATCCCAGCACTTGGGAGGCAGAGACAGATGGATCTCTGAGTTCAAGGCCAGCCTGGTCTGCAAAGTGAAGTTTCAGGATAACCAGGACTGTCACACAGAGAAACCCTGTCTCAAAAAACCAAAACCAAAACAACTTTTAAATTACTGTGTTAAAACATTTCCATGTTGAAGGGTCAGTTTTTTAGAACATTTACATTAAAAGATGCAGCACATGTTGATGCTTCTCATAGTTTTCTGCTTTTTGTAATAGTTTACCTGGGAGTTTGTTTTTCAACAAATGGAAAGAACTTTAGTTCTTTTGTTCTGTGAATCAAATATAATTTTCCTTTTTCTGTTAATGTTCACCTTTTCATGTGCTGTACTCTGACATTACCCATGAAAATCAACCTTGATCTGGCTTTTGTAAGCTTCTCCATGTGTAGAGTTCATCTATATGTGAATCTATATAAAAAACATTTCAATTAAAATCTTTTTATAGTTCAGAAATTCAATTTCCAACAAGCGATCACTCCTTAAGACATAAGGACTCATTGTTTCCTTATGCCCTAACCAGAAAGGCTGGAGTAGAGTCCACATAGTCTTTCAGTTCACTTGGAGATAATTTGCAACATTATACCATTACTCTGTATCGAGAGTAAGGCATGCAGACTTCTTAGTTCCTGTCAGTGGGAAGATAACCCTTGAGTTGACTGGTGGGTAGCTCCTAGAGAGGACTTGCTCTGTTATGGATTGCCAGTCTAAAATCTTTCCATTTGGCTTTGTGCCACATCTGTTCAGAGGACAGAGTTAGTCTGGATGTCTAAACCTTTCCAGTTCTGTGCTGTTAACCTGCATGTCATGGCTAGTGCTAATCCATAGGGTGTCTTCCATCCAAAGATGTAATTTTAAAGATCTAGAAATTGTTTTTTTCACAAAGCACTAGATCCCAACTTGCCATCATCCCTCCTTTTCTGAATGCCTAACTCACTCCAGCTAATCTCCATCTGTATTTCTAATTCTTCTTTCCAATGCAGCTGTGGAGTTAGTAAGCCGCATGCCTGGGAGTATTGCAGAGTTCTCACTCACTGTGTTTCAACCAGCTTTTCAGCACAGATTGTCTCAGCTATTTCAAGTGTAGGTCATAAAATTCAGAAAATAATTTGCTGTTTCTGTCTTTATACCTTTCTCTACTTTCAAATTCACATTCCCCTAAAGAGCATCACCCCTCCAGATTTTCTCATTTCTATCAATGACAGAATCATTTTACTAACCAGAAACTGGACTTCTCCTACATCCAGTCTCCAAGCTGTTTCTCTTAACTGTTTGCTTCCCATCCTGTCCCCATCTCGGGATGTTACTTCACACCTAAACTCATAGAGCAATATCTCTTCAGTCTTAGTTGATCTATTGCTAAAAGAGTATAAAGCTTTCCAAATACTGTTTTTACGAGTCACTTCCCTGCTAAATGCTTTCAGTAAATCCCTGCCTGGAAAAGATAAAAAGCTGGATAGAGCGTTGAAGTTTCTCTACAATTTGGTGGTGGCTTCTTCTGTTGCTGTTGTTGCTGCTGCTGCTGCTGCTGCTGCTTCTCTTCTTCTTCTTCTTCTTCTTCTTCTTCTTCTTCTTCTTCTTCTTCTTCTTCTTCTTCTTCTTCTTCTTCTATTTTTTATTTTTTTTTAATTTATTGAATCTTTGGGAGAAAGCCACTGTCAGATTGGCTCCATAACACATGGTTCCCTGACTGACTCTTGCTGTAGCAGCCAAGGGGTTGCATCATGATCTCCTTGCACAGCTGAGACTCCTCAGGCTAAGGAATGCCTTCTTTGGGGAACGAGGCAGCAGAACATGGGTTGGTTTTTTTGTTGTTGTTGTTGTTTTTTGTTTTTTTAAATGTATATGAGTGCTCTATTTGCATATTTGCCTGCACTTCAGAAGTGGGCATCAGATCTCATTGTAGATGGTTGGCAGCCACCATGTGGATGCTGGGAATTGAACTCAGGACCTCTGGAAGAGCAGCCAGTGCCTTTAACTGCCGAGTCATCTCTCCAGTGGCTTCTGCTTCTTAAACAGAGCATTCGATATTATGTAGAACACAGAATAAGGATGTGAGGGGCTTGTTGTTTCATTAAGGTAATACTAAGAGTCTGTAAACTAGAAAGAGCACCTTTTTCCACAGTTACTCAAACTCATGAGCAGCTGGTAATGAATGGGAAGCGGGTATTTGCCAGAGAGGAGCTCGCTGCTCCACTGGTATATACCACAGTGGAACAGAACCCAGCCCTGTGGAGGTGACTTCATGGACAGTGCTTGGCAAGTTTGGAGTTTGGCCTGGGGCTCCCAGATGCTATCATTTATTGCAGTCTTCTATAAGGAAGTAATGCTGATACTTTTCTAAACATTGATTATTTTGTTACTTTTAAACTAGAACTTCTCTGGAAAAAGAAGAAAAGTCCAACCCCCTCAAGTAAGTTCTTTTGTCTTCCTTTGGACTTCCAAAATAGATTGATGAGCTTTCTGATTAATAATAGTGCCCACTCTGGCTGCATTTAGGTCGTGCCCTAGCAGACTTTAGGTTGAATTGGGGAAGTAGTTTTACTTTTAAGAGCATAGAATGATTCCAACAGGCCAACTAAACATAAAAATCTTTACCTTATTTTTAATAGAAGAATATTTAGGTTAGGAAACACTTAAATGTCCTAAATAACTTCAGTGTTCTACCCTTTCCTTATTATGGACACCACTAATTAGCATTATCTAAATAAAAAAGAGGGTGACTTCATGACTGGAGAGATGTCTTGGTGGGCAAAGTACTTACAGCACATTCAAGAGGACCTGAGATCCGACCCTAGCACCTGCATCCAAAGCAGGGTGTAGTTGTGGAGCCCTGTTTCCTCAGCACTGGGAGGTAGCAGGGTGTAGTGGTGGAGGCCTGTTTCCTCAGCACTGGGAGGTAGCAGGGTGTAGTGGTGGAGCCCTGTTTCCTCAGCACTGGGAGGTAGCAAGGGTGTAGTGTGGAGCCCTGTTTCCTCAGCACTGGGAGGTAGCAAGTCTTCAGTGTTTGGTTCTTGCTATAGATTATGAGGATCCACAGGACTCCTGTTTTGTTTTTACAAAAGCTTTTACTAGCCTTTCAAAGCACGAAAACTCCATGAGAGCTTTGTCATTAGGAAAGAGAAGCAGGTTAGCATGGCTCTGTGTTTATATATGCATTTGTTCTGTGTTGTTGGGATGGGATCCAGGGCCTCACATGTGCCAGGCAGATGCCCTGCACTGAGCCATAAGGTTGCAGCCCAGAAGAACTAGCAGCCTTGTTAGTGTATGCCTTTAAATTCTGGCACACTCACCGCCCACAGCTGTCAGTCTTAAACATACACTGCTGTGCTGCTGCATGGTTAGGTTCACTTAGCACCTTATCTGCAGTAAGGAACTTCAGTCTTCTTCAGCAATCTGTGTTCGTCTTATTTCCAGCAGAACTATTCCCTGGCTGAACTGGATGAGAAAATTAGTGCCCTCAAACGATCCCTGCTCAGAAAATCAAGAGAAGCAGAATCCATGGCAACTCACCACCTTCCGTGAGAACCGCCTCGTCACAATGCTTTCCTTTAAGATGCATGTGCGTGTAACCTACATAAGTTTAACTGTTTGCAGCATATTTATCAACATAAACTTTTCTGTGAAGTCAAGGTTTATTTTCACATGAGTCTGGCTTGCAGCACACAATCAAGTATTCCAGTGTTTGGAAATGATGTAAACCCTGAAAATAGCACTGTTGGAATTTATTTCCTTCTGTTTTAAAGGAGGCATTTTGGATATTGAAAAACTTAATTTGAAATAACTTCTTTTGGTGATCTACCAGAGATTATTATTTTAATAGTGATATTTAAAAGGACTTTATATTTGTAACATTGAATAACCAGTTTCTTAGTTTATATTAGTATTTTGTACATAGTGGGCAGTTATCAAAAATTTATTGACAAAAAAACTGACAAATGCATGTATATAAACTTTTTTCCCATATGTCTTTCTTACTGTAAATAAACAATTGATCAACTTTATCACTCTGCTGGCTGTGTGGCCTTGAGCAAGTTAATCTCTTTGTGCCCTGATTTGCTGCTCTAAAGGGAAATGACAGGAGAGCCTCCTTCATTATGGCTGTGAAGAACAGTGAGCAAAATCCTGCTGGTCTGTCCTGAAGGAGTGACGTAGTACACATTAGCATTTAATGTGTGTCCGTCTTTGGACGGCAGTAAAGCCCTCACAGAGAAGTTTTATCGCCACAGCTGGAGACAGCATGTAAAAGATACAGCTGCAGTTACATCCAGTAAATACACAGTGGCTGGTTGAGGATTGTTTGGAGGCAGGAATCAGAACTGTCCCTCGGACCACTTGTAAATGAGGAGAGGTTAGAAGAGAACCAGGAACCTGGAGCTCGTCTGGAGGAAGCGTCACCAGCCGTCGGTCTGGCTCACTGGCCTGGCTGTGCTGTCCCCAGCTCACTCTGTCTCCTGCTCTCCCTCTCTGCCCACCCTTTACTGCGTGTATCACTTACACAGTTACAAAAGCCGCTACACTTTAGCTTTACCGTGTGAACTGATAACAATAGTTCTGTCTTTATACCCTCCATTTATATTTTGGTTGTGAGCCTAGCCTGTAACGGCTGAGCCATCTCTGTAGCCCAGCTTCACTTGTAATCGTCTTTGATTGGCTTTAGTATAGTGTCATCCCAACTCTTAGAACCTCACCTCCAAGAACCACTGCTTACTGTTGCGTCTGGAACCTGCTGAGAAAGCCAGAACTAAGGGCCATGCCGATGGCAGCTAGTGTGGGGAATTCGCCCAGAGGAAGGTCTGGCGATAACTATTCTAGAGCTAGTAGGCTTTCAGCCTTTTGTCCGTTCTTGGGTGCATCACTCACTGAAAAGTGATACCAGGAGTTAGGGAGGCTTATTGCTCCCTTAATCCAAGCTACCCGATGACCATTCCTTTTGGGTTTTTGTTACGTGACACAGCTGTTTCCTCCTAATGGTAGTGTCCTTAAATAGGTGTGGAACGTGGTTAGAAAAAGACCTGCTTCTGGGGACAGCAGCAAACCTCCTCCTCAGTCCATCCCAGGTTACACTCTATCAAGTGTTTCCTAGGGGCTTGGCCTTCCCTCACTCTGGATATTTACAAACCAGAGTGTCTTGGACCTTGAGACACTCAGGTTTTGAGAAACACCCATGTAGGAAGCCTGCCTCTCCTGCTTCCTTGAAGTAGATCCCGCGCCAGACATGCGCTCTGTGGGTGCTTCCAAGTTATGACTAGGAACACTTGGTCTCCAGGGTTCAAACTCTTTGTTTTGTTTTGTTTTAATGTGGGTCACTGTATACCGCAGAATAAGGATGTCTGGTTTGATAAGATCTCCAAGCACAAAAATTGCTGCATGTGACTAGGCCTTTAGGGAATGAATGAAGGTTATTGCCACAAAGAAAATGGGCTGGGACCTCTGGCCTTTATAAAAATTTCAATTTACTCAGAAAAAATTTTCAGTGATATTAACTGAAAATGTTGTATGATAGAGAGACGGCATCTCAGTGCATCGAATAAGATGTTTAGAGGTTACAGATATAAAAATTGATATTTGGGGCCTGGAGAGATGGCTCAGTGGTTAAGAGCTCTTGCTCTGACAGAGGATGGAGTTTGATTCCCAGCTACCACATGGTGGTTCACAGCTATATGTAGTGGCAGTTCCAGGCCATCGGATGCTCTCTTCAGGACTCTCCAGGCACCAGGCATACATGTGGTACACACACATACTTCCAGCCAAACACACTTAAAACTCATACACATAAAAATAAATCTAAAATTTTGTTTAAAACAACTGATATTTTATAACTTTAAGTTGGATATCCTTAAAAAGACAAAATTTGTTCCAATATTGGTTCTTTGGACTCTTGTGAGATCTATATTGAAAACTTAATGATATAATTTTTTCATACATCTTTTTGAAACATTTGGATGTTTTCTTTTATCCCAGGAATTAATCAATAGTTATTCTCAACTATGCTAAGACTAACAGTGAAATTAAAGGATAATGCAAACAACACAGTGGGTGGTGGCCGTTGGAATAGCTTCCACGTTCACATAGCCCAAAGAACATCATTGTTCAGGAAAGACTGAGTCTGGATAGACCATCTGCCTCCTCCCCATACACCCAGCCCCTGAGCTTTCGGGAAATACATTTAAGGTGTTTGTTTTAAGTATAATAAGTTCTAAAAGGAAACAGGACTTTCATAACTGAAAGAAATCAGGTCAATTCAAATGTAAAGATGGTCTTTCTCTAGACTCAGTTTCTTTTTTTGTTTTGTTTTGTTTTGTTTTCGAGACAGGGTTTCTCTGTGTAGTTTTGGTGCCTGTCCTAGATCTCGCATTGTAGACCAGGCTGGCCTCGAACTCAACAGAGATCCACTTGGCTCTGCCTTCCGAGTGCTGGGATTAAAGGCGTGTGCCACCACCGCCTGGCCAGACTCAGTTTCTTGACATGGATTTGTCTTACCTCTACTAATGGCACACGATTGGCAGGTAGGTATAGCCAACTGTCATTGCTCTTGTCAAGGATGGATACTTTCAAAACCAAGAAAATAAGAAAAATTGCGCTTACTATGGCTGAACTTTTACTGACATTTCTAATAAAGATCTATAAGTTATTTAGAAAATGGCTTTAAATACATCTACTTTTTTAAATCTTAAGATTCATTAGAACTAGATGGTAAATGATGTTTATTTTTTCTGATATGTTGACAGCTAAATATATTTTTAAAATCTGAAGATTTCTGTAAAATTCATATGCTTAACATTAAATTTTTAAGTAGTTCCAAAGTAAAAATTATGCCTATGTATATAAGCAAATAACTTTCAAAGATTTTTTTTTAAAAAATGATTCCAAGAAACTTAAATATGTATGAAATTGCTTCCCTTAACACTCTTCCTCCAGTAAGCTTTATTTGGGAGGAATGAATTTAAAAAAAAAAAATTCTCAGATTGCAAAATGTGTACACGTACATGCTTCTTTTAAAGAAAGCGTCTGGCAAACTACTTTCTGTGTGTAAAAAGGACTGTATTCAGCCCTAAAAGGAAAAGAGCAGTCAGCGGATGAAGAAACATATTTCTAAAAGAAGTGACTCTAAGAGACCTCACACAATACAGTTCTAACTACGTGACAGTCTGAGCATGGGCACAGTTATGGAGGAGGCCAAAGGTCAGTGGTCGGCATGTGGGGAGCTGAAGAATCCGGAGTGCGTAGGCAGAGCAGAAGGGTTTAGAGCATCGGAAAGACTAAGATGCTAAAGGGACAGAAGACATCAGTGTACTCTTGTCTGAACCCACAGAATGTGCAACAAGAGTGAGCCCTACTGTGAGCTAGCTCTGCCTTCTTGGTGATAGTGACATGTCCATGGAAGTATCAGCCATGTCCTGTGGGCCACCTGGAGGAGCAGGTGAGCAGTGGAGGAGGCCATGCAGGTTCTAGTATCAGATTCTAAATTTTGCTATAAGTCTAAACCTTACAAAAATAAGGTCATATGTAAATAGGGACACTTAAAAAAATAACCCATCCATCCTTATAGGACAAAATGCTTCAAATGTTTGTAAACTTAAGCTTTTGGTAAGCAGGTCTAGGGTTAAATGGCCTTTCCAGGATGGCCTGTGTGCTGCTACCAGTCTCTAAGAAATAGTTTTTTCCAAGCTATCTGGAATTGGGAACCTGAATATTGGTAGAATTTTGCTCTGCCAAACAAAGGAAAATGAAGTTAATTTTTTTTTTTTTTTGCCATTCTAGAATTGTGAAATTAGAGGTCTATTAAAATAGTGACTATTTCAGATATACAGGAAAGCACAAAGGTTTAGATCAGACGAGACATCTTAAACCACCCAGATTTAATAGATACTGCATTTAATAGTCAGATGCATTTGCATGGGGCCAGCCAAGGCTACATGAGATTTCATCTTTAAAAAAAAAAAAATGGCAAAAGATCTAGGCCAAATATAAGCAGCTCAGGGCCTCATACAAGCTATGTAAGCATTTTATATGGTGCCTCATGCTCTGTTTCCGGTTTGTGTGTGTGTGGAGTCTAGAGTGGGTAGCTTTTCAAGCACTTAGCTTCCAATCTTGGAGAACAAGCCACCCCAGAGATTCATTAGAATGTGATTTTAAAACAGATGTAGATTAACAAGTTATTTGTTACAGATGAAAAAGGACCCACAAACGGCAGACAGAAAAGTAAAGACCGACCTAAAATGTGTGTTCACCTTAACTGACAGCTCTGTTTCCTACATGTTCCCCTTGGTTCCAGTGTGTAGACCTTAATAGCTTGGGAATTGAACTTTGAAAGTCACCACGCTGCTGAAGAAAAACTCCAGGCTTCACACAGCAGCCAGTTAAATAGCAGCTCTTCCCCACTGATTTTTCCCTTCTCAGAGCCCTAATCTTACTTTCAGGAGAAAGATGAGCAGCAGAGGATCTATCATGGCAACTAATAAGTCTATAAGGAAAAAAAGAAAGAAAGAAAATGCTTGAAAGGTCCCAGTCTCTGACCATGGTTTACATCTACAAAGAAAAATCTGGAAAGGAGGAATTAAAAGTGGGGCATGAATGTGGTCACAGACATACATGTAGGGAAAGCGCTCACACACGTGAATTTTTTTTTTTTTTAAGAAAAGCAATTCTGATTATGGCCTCTTCCTCAGATGCCTTACTGTACAGTAGTCACCTTTCCTGTGCTGCTGTGAGATGACAGAGCCTGAACAGTGAGCTTGCTCAAAACAAAAGAACTGTGCTTCCTACACACATGGGCCCATCTAGTCCAACTCTCCTTAGGAAACTGTCTAGAACAGTAGCTTCTCTTCCGTCCAATACACTGTACTTGCTGGGAACAGACGCGAGTGCTATTTGCACTGTGTATGTCAATGGGAGCGCAATAGTGACTTTCCTTACAGCCTACATGACAGTGGATGAGGTGAAAGACATGAGTGGTGACGTGTGTCACCGGGACTCCAGCACAACAGCAGGAGATCTGAAG